AATGAATGAATGAATGAATGAATGAATGAATGAATGAATGAATGAATAAATAAATAAATAAATAAATAAATTTTGTTATATGATTCAGAGCTGCAGCAATAGAACATCCCAATTCAACATTATTTGGTCAAAAACATACACTACAGTGCCTTCTCCAAAAGTTCCTCATTCAAAGTGTGTGTGTGTGTATGCGTGTACTTTGCCAGTTTATGGAGGGGATAAAAAGAAAGATGGCCAAATAAAAGCCAATCCTTCCCTTCCTTCTCTGTTATGCCTATGGAAAAATTATGCACTTAGTGATCCATCAAAAAGCTCTGCTGGGTGGTGCAGCAATCAACTAGTCCCAGCACCAAGAGTCACAATTGTCCCATCCTGAGAAAGGTTCTCTACCTACAGCATGTTTCTGAATAGTAACCATCTGCTACCTTGTTGACACTCCTATCCCTGCCAGCAGAGTCCTTACAGGCTAGATAAGGAAGTACACTGTCTCCCTCCCATTTGGGGGGAAGATGCTTTAACTCCTGAAAACACTAAACATATTTTTCACATTTAAGAATTTTAAAAAACACCAATGATTTTTTGTGCTTTAATGCTGAAATGTGATGCCAGTCGTGGGGGCCTAAAAGGCCTGGATTATCTTGTTCTGCAATAAGCCACAAATCATGGAAGCCACAATGACTGGGTTCATACATTGCACTCAGAAAAACCAAGCACATCAATTACGGCTTTGATAATAAAGAGGATTTAAAGAAATCCTATTGTTTCCTTACCATCCTTCACCAACTGCAAACCAAGTAACATCCCTAAGATGCACAAATGTTAATTTGCTGTTGTAATTATTTATGTTTGAATGAAGTTAATAATAAAGACTGCTTATGTGTTCAACAATATTTCACTGAAGCTAATTACACCTTTAGTGTAGTGTCATAGCAGAGTGCTATAATCAATATGATGATCTTTTTGCATTTTGCATAATCTTCTGCTGTGAGCAAAGAAGTGAAGTCAGTTTGGAACAGCACCTTTTAGAAACTTAAGCTAATCATACAGGAAGGAAAAGGGTCTAGAAGGAGCATTTCCTTCTTCTGGGAGAAAAGGTCTACATGAAGGAATCCCTCACCCCCATCCACAAGTTTTCTGATATTAAAAGAATTCATACAAAACACTCATGTTTTGTTGAGTATGTTACAATTAAATTTAGTGTAAATCATGGTTTATTAACCACAATGGCCTAGATCACACCACATGCTAGGCCAAAACCAAACAAACCATACGATAATTTATTGCAATGTCTGTGCCTAGCATTATATTATTAAGTTTGCGTATATGGTAAGCAGCTGAAACTGCTTACCATTTTATCATTGAAATTTCAGAGGTGTTCTCACTCCTGTATGTGTAAAAAAAACTGCACAAAGCTAATTCTGCCTGTTTTGCATATCTATAGGTAGAAGTAGTCCCATACATTCTCACGGGTCCTTTATTGGACAGAAATAACACATCAGTCAACTTGACTATTTTCTAGTGGGGTGATCATGTTAACTTTTCATAGCAAAACCAAGAAAGAATCTTATTGCTCCTGTGGTAATAAACCAGACATGAGAAATCCAAGAGAACCATATGAAAACTAACAGAAATGGTATTTTTAATGCATTTTAATTTACATAATGACATATTTTCCTATAAGCTCATTTTACACACACACACACA